AGGTGGTGGAGCAGGAAGAGGAGGTCAGTGTTATTTCACTTGTGTTAATCTCGTAAGGATCCGTGGGGTCGCGACGACGTTATTAGGCTCCGGATGACGACGCGAGAGGGTCGGACGTCTAATCGACCCGGGAATAATGTCGCGTTCGCCGGGAAGTTCGTCCTGACGGTGTTCGCCTCCGGGGGATATTCTAATCGGTCCCGAGAGCTCTTCGCCGTTTCTACGGCGGGATCCACGTGGGAGAGAAGAGGGAGCCGAGAGGGAACGTATGTGCCATCCGGCCACCGTATTCGTCGCGGGGTTTGTGCGAGGATAGAGAGCTAGAGACGATAGAGCTCGTACACTCGGGGTGCGGGACGATGGCGAACGATAATTCGGCTCTCCGCTACGAGTCCGGGTGGTTTGAGCTCCTCGTAGCGCCAGAAGACTCGACTCTCTCTCTCTCTCTCTCTCTCTCTCTCTCTCTCTCTCTCTCTCTCTCTCCCGCTCACAGTCGCTCGGTGAGCAACTACGTTCTACTCCTCCTTGATATCGGCCGTTAGACGGCGACTACCGAAATTTCGCGCTAATCTCAATTTACGACACCGCAGCAAATCATACGTGCCTCTGGCGTTTCTCCCCCGTCCGCGCCCCCGTTTTCGCGCGCGAGTCTTCGAGTTATTAGTCGGCTGTCAAGCTGCCGCGTTTCCGATTGCCATCGGCTGCAGATTCGGATTGCACATGTACAACGCGGTCTCGTAAACGCCTTAATGCGTGCGATAGATTAGACCAGATTTTCCAGGAGTGTCTCGAAGAGGGGTGGGTTGGATCGGTGTTCCTGCGGTATCGCGGCCATTCGTGAACACGGACCGCGTAGTGACGTTGTGTTTTATTAAGACGACAAGTCGTATTGGCATTATTCTTTTTACGGGTTCATTTGTGCGAAATAAAGAGAGGACATCCCCGTGGAGAACGTAAAGAACAGCACACCGTCGTTATATGCATCGACTGAGTCCAAATTCCTGAATTACGTTCGTGCGAGCGCGCTTAATAACTATCTGTCTGCCGGTGGCGCGTAGGATCCGCGAGTTTATCGATTTATCGTGTATTCTTTTGACAATTCCTGGTCTCGGCGAAGAGATTGCTTGGAATGTCGCCAGACGGCCGGCCGTTCGTCCAGCTGGAAAGAGAAACTTGCGAGGTGCGCCTGGAAGCCTTTGTGCGAGAAAGTGGCGAAAAAGAATGCACGAGGTGGACTCGAGAAGGAAAAGCGGGGAGAGACGAAGGAGAAGGACGGGGGATGGTAGAGCTACGTAGAGGGTGGGTGGATGGATGGATGTACGGGTGGGCGAACGAGAGAGCAAGAGAGAGAGAGAGAGAGAGAGAGAGAGAGAGAGAGAGA